TAGTCCTAGTTTTACCCCAATAAAGTTGGAGCTGGAGCTGAATCACTGAGATCTGAGCTGAGTCACTTGTCTGAAGCTGTAACACTAAATCCTGTGATCCAGTCTCCCCGGGGGGTGCTATCCTTCAGTCATCGACTCATGGAAATCCAGCTTTAGCCGCCCCCCACCTCTCCTCGAGACCCGGCAGCTGATGGGCCACGAACTTAGAGAGAGAGTGCATGGGTGAAATTGGGGCAGAACTCAACCGGGCCAGCCCCGGTAGCAGAGACCCACAGAGACACAGAGAAGCAGGGACCTGCCAGCAAAGCGGAGCAGACGAGCCACGGGACCCGCCGCTTCCCAGGTGCGCGCAGGAGACCGGCGCCACGCTAGCAGCTGGCGCCCCGAGATCCCCGCACCCCATAGGGATAAAATAGGCTGGTGTGATAGTGTATGCCTTTAACCCAGCACTCAGGAAGCAGAGGCAGGCAGATCTCTCAGTTTGAGGCCAGTCTGGTCTACACAGAGAGGTCAGCCATGGCTACATACTGAGAGCCTGTCTCAAAAACCAAAATAAGACAAAATCAGAAATAAAAAGGTATAAAATTTCATATCTCAAATTTGCAGATAAGACTAAAAAGTAGATACATGTAAGATTGTACATAAGCTAATAGCCATCTGTCATAAAATAAAATCAGCCAAGCATGCTCTGTAGTCATATCTTGTTCTAAATGAGGCACAATGTTTATTATTAATAATTAACAATAATATAAATGTTATTAATAGCTGTAAAAGCTGTGACGCAGAAAGGCTACCTGACAAAGGAGCTCCCGAGTCCCTCTCAAATTTATTGTTTAAAACTTCTAAAGCAGCATTCTATAGCTTTGGGGGAGATTATAAAATCGTTTGAGAATCTAATGAATACTACGAACTCAAATAAACAGATTCATGCACAAAAACATCCTTCCACTCAGAGACCCCAGTGAGAAATGGGAAACAGCAGAGGCTCAGCTCTAGAATGAAGATACTTTATCTTCCTTAACATTTTGGAGGGGAGGAGATCACACTGACTTCTGTCAGATCCCTAGTGGACAGTGTGCTATGTGTCTCCAAAAACATGACCTCAACTCTGAGATTCCTCATCTCTGAATCCCAGTACCCTAAATAAGAGGCTGCTTAAATTGCAAATCAAACATCAGGGCCATTCTAGTTTTGATTCATAGTTCTCAAGTTTTCAGACTTTCAGTGCTTCTGAATGAGTATGAACTTCATGTCACCCCTTTGATGGATAAACCTTGACTACATAGCAACCATTATGGGCTTGCTCTATAAAGTCTGTCCACTTTCCAGAACTGACTTTTATTTCATTAAAGGAGTCTATCTACATTATACTAGAAGCTATGCCTCAGTTTCAGGGCAGAATATTACTCACCCTCCCAACATAAAAGGAAAGAACCTACACTATTTGCTTTTAGCTAGAAGTCCCTTATATTAGTATTACAAACCTTTCTACTTTCACATACATAAAATATTCATTTGGGAGGCAGGTAATAAGGAGTGTTCCCATGTGAATGATAGAGAATATACCATGTAAGGATCCCAGAGAGTACCTTCTCACATAGCCTAGCACCAGAATCCAAACTACACTGGTGAGTGAAGCCAGGTGCGGGGTGCACACCTTTAGTCCCAGTACTCAGAAGACCTCTGTCAGTTCAAGTCTATGCAAATGTTTCCTAATTAACATTTGCAGAGGAGGGAAAGACACTTCTTTTAAACTGACAGAAAAAGAGCTATGACAAATAATGTGTGGTGACAGCATCTAAACAGTACTTACTATGTTAGAAAACAAAAGGCATTTCAATTTGAGCAATTTTACATATAATGATTAAATAGTTTTTTTTTTTTCAATATTCAGTAAGAGCAAATCAAGCCTCTTATCTGTGACTTTAAAAAGACACACTTCAAGCTGGGCACAGTAGCCCATGCCTTTAATCCCAGCACTCAGGGAGGCAGAGGCAGGCAGATCTTTGTGAGTTCAAGGCCAACCTGGTCTATATAGTGAGTTCCAGGACAGCTGGGGCTACAGGGAGACCCTGTTTCAAAAAGACCAAAAACAAAACAAAACAAAAAAGATGATGACACACTTCAATATATTTAGTAGGAGAGACGTTCTACTTACCAATAGCACAATGTAAAATCTAGAGGGGGAAAAAAGAAGGAAAAGAAAATTAGTAAGAACCAGTACTTTTATTTTATACAGTTAAGAATAGAGCAGTATCTGCCAGTAATAATGAATCTGAAAACCAAACATCCCATTATTTTTTGTCTTTTTGAGACAGGGTCTCCCTGTAGTCTCAGCTGACCTGAACTCACTATGTAGACCCGGCTGGCCTTGAACTCATAGCAATCCACCTGCCTCTGCCTCCCGGATGCTGGGATTAAAGGCGTGTGCTACCACGCCCAGCAAACATCCCAGTTTTAAACTTGGCTACAGGCTATTTAACAAAATAAAAATTCTTGCTTGTTTTGTTTGTTCATTTTAGTTTGTGGATCTTTGGGAGATGCCAATGACCTCTTTTATAACACATTAACTCACAAGAGCAGCCAGAGTATATCTCCTGTGTCCTATAATCTGCAGGACAGAACTGTCAGGCTACATAACATATTATCAGAAGGGCCTTTGTTGGCTCTTGTTACCCAGCAGGCCCCTTTGATGCAGACATTCGTTCTTCTGAGTTCCAGCCTCGGTTCCCTTCTTGCCCTCACTCAATGATCTTGTCACAGAGTTCTTCCTTAATTTCTAAACGTGTCTTCTAGCCCAGATCCACATTCCAAACCAACTTGGACATCTCCATCTACTGCACCCACAACTCAAACATGGCTGGCCTCAATGGGAAGCCTATCACTTCACTTTCTGCCTTCCTATGCCACAGCTGAGATCATCTAGTTCCAGTATGTTAGGTTAACTTTGCTTTCCCTCTCCCCTAAGTTTCAACTGGCTTCCAGTTCTTGCTAATGTATATCAGTTCTGTCAAGCTATTATTCCTTTTAAAAGTTTTACAAAACTTCTCTAGTAGTAAATTATTACTTGATCTGAATAACAACCCTGCAGGTAGGTCAGACAGATATCGCTACATGCAGGTGGGAAAACCAATACGCAGATTAGCTGTACAATTTTCCCAAGGCAGTAAACAATGTCATGGGTCAAGAATCTGAACCCTGGACACTGGCTGGGGTGGTAACATATGCCTTTAGTTCTAGCATCAGAAAGCAGAAGGCAGATCTCTTACTTTGAGGCCAGTCTGACCTATATAGCAAGCTCCAGGCCAGTCACAACTCTACATGAGACTCTGTCACACATACAAAAAATTGAACCTTAAAAAAAATATTTATTTATATTTCATGTGTATGAGTGTTTTGCTTGCATGTATGTATATGAGTGTTTTGCCTGCATGTATGTATACACTGCGTATGAGTGCCAGCAGAGGTCAGAAGGGGGGTGCTGAAGTCCCAGGAACTGGAGTTACAGTTGTTAGCTGCCATGTGGATGCTGGGAACCAAACCTAGGTTAAGGACAGCCAAATGTTCTTAACCACTGAACCTCCAGCCCCCTGAACCTTGGTTTTTATGTCTACTCTATAACATCTATCATATTTCACTGTGTAGAGTTATAAGACTGTGAGGCCAGAACTTCATGACTTATTTTAGCTAAAACATGTCTGATTAGACTCTATTTCACTAAATTTTTCTTTTTTCTTTTTTGTAGGAACAGAGGGAGAGAGCTCCGTTTAAAAAACTTGAACTGTACAGATTTGCTGGTACTTGAGGTGAAAACAAAAGAATTTCCATGTAGCAAATCATGTAATCTTTTTCAAAAGACACTGAACAAAAGCTCAAATATGTGACTATTACAAGAGAAGCCAAACCTCCTATACACACACGCACACACATTTATATATATGTTTTATATGTATATATAAATGACAAATGAAATGAAGGACATGAATGAAGAGACAAGACAGTAGAAAGCAGGGAGTATTCTAGTCATGTACATGACAAAACAGCCTGACTGAAGGGCCAGAACACTGCAGGAAGAAATGACAGCAATTCAGGCTACCCTGTTTCTAGGTCTCAGTCTGACTGGACTTGAACTCTCCTTTTTAATCATACATATTTCAGAATGCCTCCTTTGCCATCCTGATGAAACTCATAGGTGACATGATCCACTTGCACAAAATTGAAAAAAAAATTCCTAATATGCAAAGCAGAAATAATTTGTTTAACAAAGCAGACAGATTCCACACTAACTTATGATAAAAAGTTTGGATTTAAAATTAATATTTTTTGGAGCTGGTGAGATGGCTCAGTGAGTAAAGACTCTTGCTACACAGTCAGGAGACCTAAATTTGAACCATGTAAAGGTAGAATGGTAGAGAGCAGTAACTACACAAATTGTCCTCTGAGCTCCCCATGTGCACTGTGACTCACCCACCCATACCCACATAATAATAAACAAAATTTAATTTATTATTTTGTGTGTATGAGTATACTGCCTACATATATGTATGTGTCATGCAGCCGTGGTGGTCAGAAGAGGGCATTGGATCCCCTAGAACTGGAATTACAGATGGTTGTCAGCCACCATGTGAGTGCTAGGACCCAAACCTGGTTCCTCTGTAAGAGCAGTCAGTGCTCTTAACCAATGAGCCATCTCCTCAGTGCCATAAACAAAAAAATCAAAAAATGAAAAAGATTCAAAAACCACTCTGAATAAACACTAGAGAATATAAAAAAAAGAGTGCTACAGACTAATACTACAAACAAAGTTAGTATTAAGATAATAAAATATAATAAAGCAAAGAAACTGAAGAAGTATGTTTCGAATGAGTTAGATCTTATCTACAAAGTATAGGATTAGGGGCTGGAGAGATGGCTCAGTGGTTAAGAGCACTGGCTGCTCTTGCAGAGGACCCGGGTTCGAGTCCCAGCACCCACATGGCGGCTATGAACCGTCCTTAACTCCAGTTCCAGGGGAATCTGAAGCCCTCTTCTGACCTCCATGGCATTGCATGATGCGGGTGCACTCACATACATGCAATACATTCACACACGTAAAATAAAAATAACAAAAAAAGAATACTTGAAGCAATACATAGAGCAGAGAGGGAAACAACTATGCCCCAGGGATAAGAAAGAAAGAAAAGAAAATGAAGATATAATTGAGGAAACACAAAATTAGACAGAGAACACAAACAGCAATCAAAATGACGGCAACCAATACCCATCTTTCAATAATAACCTTAAATATCAATTGCCTGAACTCCCCAGTCAAAAGACACAGGCTAAGTGAATGGATTAAGAAACAAAATCCATCTCTGCTGTCTGCAAGAAACCCATCTCACCTTCAAGGACAGGCACTACCTTAAGGTAAAAGGATGGAAAAGAATATTCCAAGCAAATGGTACCAAGAAACAAGCAGGGGTTGCAATTCTAATATATGACAAAATAGACTTCAAAGTAAAACTAATCAGAAGAGATAAGGAGGGTCACTTCATTCTGATCAAAGGAACAGTTAACCAAGAAGATATTACAATCCTTAACACATATGCACCAAACTCTGGTGCACCCAAATTCATAAAAACAACACTACAGGACTTTAAGACACAGATTAACCCCAACTCAGTAATAGTAAGGGACTTCAATACTCCACAATCTCCATTAGACAGATCAACTAGACAAAGAATAAACAGAGAGATGTCGGAATTAAATGATATCATACATCAAATGGACCTAAAGACATCTTTTGAGTATTCCACCCAATGACCAAAGAATATACTTTCTACTCAGCAACCCATGGAAATTTTTAAAAAATTTACCACATACTGGGCCACAAAACAACCTTCAATAAATACAAAAAAATTGAAACAATTCCATGCATTGTATCAAACCACAATGCAATAAAGCTCAAAATCCACACTGGACGAAGCCCCAGTCACTACACGAACCTGTGGCAATTGAACAACACACTCCTAAACAACGAGTGGGTCAAAGGAGAAATTAAGAAAGAAATAAAAGAATTCCTGGAATCCAATGAAAAGGACAATATAACACAACGCAACCTCTGGGACACATTAAAAGCAGCCCTAAGAGGGAAGTTTATAGCTCTAAGTGCTTACATTAAAAAATTAGAAAGAGCACAAATAAATGACCTAACACTGGAAATCAAGACACTGGAAAGGCAAGAACAAAGGAAACCCAAACTCAGCAGAAGAGAAGAAATAACAAAAACCAGAGCAGAAATTAATGAAATAGAAACAAAGAAAACAATACAAAGAATCAATGAATCTAAGAGCTGGTTCTTTGAAAAGCTAAACAATATAGACAGACCCTTAGCCCAGTTAACCAAAAGAAAGAAAGAGCACGTCCAAATCAACAAAATCACCCAAAGGATCCAGACCATTATAAGGGACTATTTTAAAAACCTATACACTACTAAACTTGAAAATCTAAAAGAAATGGATGGATATCTAAAATCATAGGAACCACCAAAGTTAAACAGACCCATAACATATAAGGAAATTCAAACAGTAAAACAAAGCCTCCCAACTAAAAAAATCCGAGGCCCAGACAGATTTACAGCAGAATTCTACCAGACATTTAAAGAAGACCTCCAACCAATACTACTTCAATTATTCAAAACAAAAGAAAAAAAAATGGAGAACTCCCAAATTCCTTCTATGAAGCCAGCATCACTCTAATACCCAAACCAGGTAAAGACACAACCAAAAAAGAAAACTATAGACCCATATCCTTAATGAACATAGATGCAAAAATTCTCAACAAACTATTTGAAAACCGCATACAGACACACATCAAAAAGAGCATCCACCATGATCAAGTAGGCTTTATCCCAGAGATGCAGGGATGGTTCAATATACTCAAATCAATAAATGTCATTAATCATGTAAATGGACTCAAAGACAAAAACTGCACTGGCATTTCAATAGATGCAGAAAAGGCTTCTGACAAAATTCAGCATGCATTTATGTTCAAAGTCCTAGAGGGAACTGGACAGGGGGAACATATTCAACACAATTAAAGCTATATACATCAAGCATATAGCCAATATCATTCTAAATGGAACAAAACTGGAAGCATTCCCATTAAAATCAGGAACCAGATAAGGATGTCCACTGTC